GACTTAGAACGACAAGTAGCTGGTTGATTCTGCTGGTCCCTGAATTGTCCCAGGGCTCCTGCTATTTGTAGCTAATCACCTTTTCAGCATCGTGTCTGTCCATCAACCAGCCGCTGGCAAGATTTGTTTGTAAGTCTCCGGTGTACAGCTGTGGCAGTGTGTCATCAGCCTGTATTCCTGCCGGTGACCCTGCAGTTTCTAAGACAGTGACAGCAGGCTTTGGGTTTTGCTTCTTGCCTCCCTATGTTAATACAAGAGCTCATTTAGGCATTTGTTGCTCGCATAAGTAGCTAAGAAGACTGCTGGCCAGCAACTGGTGTATGCTTCGGGCTACAGCTGGGCACTTGGGAGTGCAAGGGGCATGTGTGCACACTCATTTCAGGAAACTGTCAGTGGGATGGAGTGTTCTGGAAACACTGGGGTGGGAGGGTTTGTCCTGGGAGAGCAGGATGTAAGAACATCCCTATTCTGTGAGTGCTGTTCATACTCGGCAGTCTCTCCACAGAGAGTGGAGATGTTTTCTGAAACACAGTATTGTCAGTTATTTCTGTCTGGCTGGGTCACCAATTTTACTGTTTCATCTGATTTACCTCTTCTGTCCTCTCTCTTTCTCCTTCTCTCTCCTCTCTTTTCTCTTTATCTCTTCTCTCCTCTCTCCTCTGACTTTCTCTCTCATGCTTGGGATCAAACCCCTGCTCTTTCTCTCCTCTTCTTTCCTCTCATGTTCTCTTCTCTCTTTCCTCTCCTTTCCTCTGCTCTTTCCTCTCCACTCCCTCTCTCCTCCCCCTCCCTTCTTTTTTCTCCCCCTCTTCTTTTTCTTTCTCTCTCATGCTGGGGAGCAACCCCCCTCTTAGTCTCTTCTCTCCTTTCTTTCTCTGCCCCCTCCTTTCTTCTCTCTCCTCCTCTCTTTCATTTCTCCACTCTCTTTCCTCTCCCCTCTTTTCACTCCCCTCTCCTGTTTCTCTCTCTTCTCCTCCCTCTTCTCTCCTCTTTCCCTCCCTTTCTCTCTTATGCTGGGGATCAAACCCAGGGCCACATGCATGCTAGGGAAGCACGCCTCCACTGAGCCACTCCCCCAGGCCTTCCTCTCCCCTCCTCCTCCTCCTTCTCTTCCTCCTTTTCCTTTTGAGGGACTAAACTGTGTCATTGAACTTAGGGCCTTGTGCTTGCTGGGCAAGTGCATGTTGCAAGGTATTTAGCTAAATAGCCTAGAATGAGTCAGATGCTAACCAGGAGCAAATATCTTACATGGACAACTAAGACTGCAGCGCCTCCATGCCATTGTTTTCTGGTGTCAGTCTCCTACATTGCCTGTTGCTGGGAAGAGTCAGAGTTTTCCAGGTACTTCTGCAAATGGGAAGACTCATATTGCTTAGATGTAAGATGTCCTGGAGGCTGCGGTAGATAGGAGGAGGAACCCTTCCAAAAGATGACCACAGGAACATTGGTACCACAATGAGGGCAGAGAGACTGGTGTTGCCTGTGTCTCTGGCAGGTCTTACCGCATTGACCATAGTGCTAGAGGATAGGCTCATGGGTGTTGGGGCATCCCAAGCTTCATGATGAAATAGGGTTGGCGCAGGGCCGCCAGCATCTCTTTCTAGTGGGCTGGGCCACATAGCAGTTGAGGGGCTGAGTACCACTGAGCCTGATGAACCACTTCTGGAGACAAGGTGGAGTTGTCTTGGGTCACAGATGGAGGAGCATTCCCCAGCCATTACACGGAGCTGTAGGATGTGAGCTCAGCTGGGACCAGCAGGCCTCCTACCTGGAGCAGTCACTTCTTTGCCCAGTTTGGTAGCCATCTTGGAGGTGAGCACAGCCTGAGCCATTTACAAGGTTACCACGTCAGTTGGCATGAGCAGATGTTCAGGTCTGACCCTGAGGTAAGTGTCCATAGACACTCAGTCGATGTGGAGAGAGGCTCCTGGGCGTTCTGATGAGGCCAAATGGTTTATGGGATGGTAGTGACCTGTGAAAGGCTTGTACTTGGGAAGCGGCTGGTCAGTGCTCTGCCTGTCTTTTCCTAATCCTCTTTGTATCTCTTCCTTCCATTCCTTCTACTTGTAGGTTTTAGCTCTTTGGGCAAGTCAAGGCAAATAGATGAGCAATCCTTCAGCTTTTGCCAGCAAAATTTATTTATTTATTTATTTATGGGTCCGGTCATGGGGCCTGAACTCTGGGCCTGGGCGCTGTCCCTCAGCTCTTCAGCTCAAGGCTAGCGCTCTACCACTTGAGCCACAGCGCCACTTCCGGCTTTTTTTCTTTTTGCTTATGTGGTGCTGGGGAATCGAACCCAGGGCCTCAGGCATGCAAGGCAAGCACTCTACCACTGAGCCACCTTCCCAGCCCTGCCATCAAAGTTTAGAAGGCAGTTTTTGGTAAATAAGCCAAAAGCTGCCCAGGTGCTACCTGCAGCTGGACCATGAGGCCGCCATGTGATAACAAAAAGGTCCTTGCAAGCACAAGTTCTAGCTCTGCACCTGCCATCAGCCAGATTGAGGTTCTCAGAGCTCTAGTGCCCTTTGCCAGTTAATCAAGGAGATGGTTTTCCTGTTCTGGAACTTAGGCAGTTACAAGATGTATGGAGTCAGCTCCGTCCTTTTTACTGAGGTCTTTCCTATGGACTTAGGGTAGCTTGTCTTTTCCTGACTTAGAAAGAAGCACCACATTTCCTTTCACTTTGGAAACAATTGTAATTGATTTTTTTTTATGCCCGCCTAGCCTTTATCAGAAAAGGACTGAGATATATGGAAATAAATCTGAAGGTTTGGAAATTCATAGACTATCCTTCCTGACTCATGTTTATCTGTATCAGTGATTGCCAAATTCCTTTGATTGTCCCTGCTTACTTAATTTCCCTGTTCATACAGGGAAGTATATGGTAAATAACCCTACCAGAGAGAAATGTGAGTTGCTAACAGAGTTTTCTGGTGGGTGTGGAAGATTTTTAGAAAGTGTATCTAGTCCTTCATAGCCATCCATGGCTCTTTATAGTCAGGAGAACAAGTTACAAGATGGAGCGATAAGCCAGCCAGTACGGGGTGCATTAGTCCATTGTTCATGTCTCTAACAAAATGCTTGTGGCTAGTTCGTTCATAAAGAACAGAGGTTTATTTAGCTATAGCTTTGGAGTTAGAAGGTCATGGTGCCATCATCTGCTGGCCTTAGAGCTGTCTGCTACATCGCATCATGTGAGCTGTTCGGTAATAGGGAGAGATGACCTGGTGATTTCAGAAGCCAGAGGGACTGAGGAGTGGAGCCCTCTTTTATAGAACCACCCATTCTCACCAGCACCAATCTCTTCCAAGAATGGTGGCCCCAGTGACCTAATTACTGCCCACTGAGCTCCACCTCTTAAAGGTTCCACCGCATCCATCATTGCTACATTGGCAACCAAGCTTCTAAAATATCAGTCCTTGGGGAATGTGCCACATCCAAACCATTGCATTGCTCATGAGTCTGCCACTGAGTTGCCTCTGTGGCTTCTTTGTCCCCAAGTCCCTCTCCCTGCTGGAGGTCTAAACTCCGTCTGGAATGGACTTGGTGCTTAGAAATTTGCTCCCTACCACTCCCTCCCCCAACTATGATTTCAGCTCTGCTCTCTGCTCTATTTCAGGTCTGGCTCTATGCTCTACCTCTGTTTATTTATTTATTTCTGTGCCTCAATTAGAATTTTTCATGACGGTAAACTGTGAACACCTCTTTAAATTTGAATTGACTAAGTGAGACCTGTGAATCAATGCACATATCCCCTGTCTGGGCCTTGCAGGCCAATATGAGTGTGGCTCATTCTGCCCCTTTGCTTCCCAGAGAAGATTTGAGGCCAGAGAAATCATTTACATGGCAGCTCAGGGTTTGTATGTTTGAGTTACGATTTCCTGCAAATGAGACTACAGGCTCAATAATAAGATGGTGATATCTCAGACCATCTAGTACAACTATGCCTTCTCTTCTTTGTTGGACTCATGTTCCTATGGTCTGTCTTTGACCAACACCAGTCTTGTTCCTTATCCTTAAGACTCCTGAGCTGTCCTGTCCAGTACTGCTGTCATTATCCTCCCTTGATTACTACCATTATTTAATTATTGTTTATGGGAATGCCTGTAGCATTTGAGAGCAATTAAGCTTCTGATTTAAGAATAGACCTGCCTGTCTTGGATGTGCTCAGCTGAAGAACAGGGGCAGCTCTGGAAGTTCTGAATGTTTTTCAGTTGGGAATCGATACCCCAGCATCTTGGCAGTTGCCCTAAGCTGTCACTTGGCCCAGGGGCAGTGAGTCGCTGCTCCCGGCTCCTAGCATCCTGGCTTTGAAAGAGCAAGGTAATTGGAGAGCCTGATTTGGGAGCGGTGGGCCCCATGGACTGATTTAGTACTACGTGGAGTGAGAGGCTGTTTTCAAGAAGCAAAGCTAGCTGATTAGGACATGAGGACCCTTGCCTGCTCCTGGGATGCGGGGCCTTGCTGGGTGAGTGGGTGAGGTAGTATGCTAGCCATCTATTTAGTTACACCATTATAAAATAGGCTCCTGAGCAGGCCTTTCATTTATTTATTTTTTATTTTAACGAAGTACCAGCTGTAAAGACCTACTTGTGCATTGTAACCATCTACTTCTAGAACAATTAATTGGTCTTTGGAATTGCCTGGAGTTCAAGGCCAGCCAGGGAGGCTGAGAGCAATGAGCTCTCTCAGTAAAGGTAATGGCTGGATCTCAATAGCTGATTTGCCAATTAGGCTTTCTCTGAGTCTAGTAAATGATAAGCTCTTTGAAGTGTACTCTGTTTCTTTTGTGTCTCTTGAACATTCTGAGTTGTTTAGGTTTCACGCTAGGCCCCGGCAGGATTCCTGGGCAGGCCGTGGGGTGGGCTGGGGTGAGGAGGAGGGGGTAGTCCAGGGGTACGGGGGGATCAGCCAAGCCTCCTGGCTCCCCAGCACTGCGGAGCCGGTGGCTCGGCCTTCCGGGCGTCATGCATGTGTCTCTCTTCCCTTCCACCCCCAAGGATGTCAACGCAGGCGAGGGCAGCGAGTTTGCCGACAGCGGGATTGAAGGGGCCACTACGGACACGGACCTCCTGTCCAGGCGATCCAATGCCACCAACTCCAGCTACTCCCCCCCCACCGGCCGGGCCTTCGTGGGCAGTGACAGCGGCAGCAGCTCCACCGGGGATGCCGCTCGCCAAGGGGTGTACGAGAACTTTCGGAGGGAGCTGGAGATGAGTACCACCAACAGCGAGAGCCTGGAGGAAGCGGGCTCGGCGCACAGCGACGAGCAGAGCAGCGGCACGCTGAGCTCCCCGGGCCAGTCGGACATCCTGCTGACCGCCGCGCAGGGCACTGTGCGCAAGGCCGGCGCGCTGGCCGTCAAGAACTTCCTGGTGCACAAGAAGAACAAGAAGGTGGAGTCGGCCACGCGCAGGAAGTGGAAGCACTACTGGGTGTCCCTGAAAGGTAAGGGGCTGCACCTGGGTGTGGGTGGAGGGAACGGCCATCCCCAGGGTGATAAAATAAGATGATTTCATCCTGTTGTCCTAGCTACTCAGGAACCTGAGACCTGAGGATAGTGCTTGGAAGCCAGCTCACACAGAAGGCCCATGAGCATCTTCTCTCTAATTAGCTAGCTTTGGCTCAGCCTTGAGAGTAAGTAGGTACTGGGGGAGCTGAACCCAGGCTTCACACATGCTAGGCATGCAGCCTGCCTGTGAGGTGCATACAGCCCTTTGTGTTTTGGTATTTAGGGTTTTGAGATTGAGGCTCATGATATTTCCTAGGCTGGTCTTGATCATGCAGTTATCCTCAGCATCCCGAGTAGCTGGGTGAGATTCCTGCAGCAACGTACCTGGCTGTTTAACATATTTTTAAACACGTGATATAGTATTATCGACATTTGAACCAAATCTCCAGAACTTAATCTGATGTAACTGAACCTTTATACCCTGATCAGTAAATTCTCCTGGCATGGTCCCCATTCTTGCAAATGATTTTTTTTTTTACTGTGTGTATTATTAAGCTAGAATCTATCTTGTCAATTTTGTATAGGTACAGCTGGTTTTGAATGTAAAAGTGTCCCCATAAAGATTTTTGTTTTTTACCAAAGTTATTTTCGTATAAAAAGGTTAAATTAGGGAGAAATAGAAAAAGAGGAAGAAATAATCACCTGCTCAACATGCAAGAAGAATAACACCCTTAAGATTTTTTTCTAATTGTTCATTTGTGCTTTACGAAGTGACTGTTGTGGAGGGAAAAACCTTTAAAATGAATCCTATAAGACAGTTTTTTTTAAGATAATGGAATCAATAAGATACCACTGATTTCACAGTTCACATGATGTTAGTGAAATGTGCATAATCATTAGGTTTGTGTAAATCATATGCTATTTTACATTGTATCTATATTTGAGTCTACATATGAATACATACCATGTACTTTCTTTCCATATATATATTCACAGTACCTTTCTATTTGTTGTCATTCACTGTCCTTTTGCATTTAATTGTAAAGTATGCTGTGTGTTGCTGCACTGGCTCTACCACGATCAGAAACAACCCCGGAAGCCAGAATGCTGGCATTTGGGAGCATAGCCCAGGAGCCCATTAAGAGGAGGGAGCCATCACTCTCCTGGTGACCTAGATCTGAGTGACACCATCTGTCAGGATCCAGGCCCAGAACACCAAGCTACTGAGCCCTTTGATTGTTAATCCTGACAGGTTCCCATTAGATGTTGACATACTTGGGCTTTGCCATTGCTACTCAAACGTAAGACGTACTGCTGACTTTTCCTTAGCAGTGCTTAGATAGTGAGAAAGAAAAGTAGAACACCTGGGAATTTGGGATCCAGACGTTCCCAAAGAATCTTCCACAATAGAAAATTAATTTTTAAAAAGATTTCACCCCGATTTAACCTCTGGAGTGACTTGGTAAACAAGTGAAGAACTTGGGAGGTTATTTTCAAGGGAAAATAAAGGTAAGTAGAAGTTTATTAGGGACAGTGTGGTTCTTCACCTTGGTATTGCTGTTTGATACTAGTCTTAAAAGAAGAACAAGTTGAAAATTGAGTTAAAGCTAGCTTTAATCACCTGTTGTTATGGGTGATTATAAACCAAAGTTGAAAATTTGTAAAATCAGTTATTTGGGAAGACCAAATGAGAAAGGGGTGGGGGGAGAGAACAAGAGAGAAGGAGAAAGAGCAAGAGAGGGAGAGAACAAGAGAAAGGGAAAGAGAGAGGGAGGGACCTGAGGATAGTGAGAGAGGGAAAGAGAGAGGGAGGGAGGAGGAGGAGAGAAGAAAGGAGAGGAGAGAGGGAGACTATGTGAATATGTGCAGAGAATAGCAATTGTATGGTCTTCCCAAGGAAATGGTTTTTATAATTTTGCCCAGACTTCTTTCAGTGTTCTCTTCCTCTCATGATGCGTGTTACGTTGCATCTGTAGATCATGAGTGTTATATTAGTCATAAAGATTAGTTAGAGCAGTGATTCTTGGCAGTGGCACTATTGACATTTTCTAGATAATTCTTAGTGGTGAGGGACCATTCTAGGCATTGTGAAATGCTTACCAGTTTCCCTGTTGTGTAGGTCAGCTTTCAAACTGACGATAATCACCTCATAAACAGCAAAGGTTTATTTTGGCTTGGAGATTTCAGCTCATGATTGGTTGGCTGTGGTGGTTTGGGGCCTTTGGTGAGACAGCATGACCTGATGGGAGCCTGGGGCCCAGGTTTACCGCTGGCCTCAGCTCCCCTTCAAGCACATGCCTTCAAGGGCCTGAAGAAGCCAAGCACCGCTGGCTCACACCTGTATCCTAGCTACTCAGGAGGCTGAGATCTGAGGATCGTGGTTCAAAGCCAGCCTGGGCAGGAAAGGCTATGAGACTCTTATCTCCAAGAAACCACTCAGAAAACTGGAAGTGATGATGTGGCACAAGTGGTAGAGTGCTAGCCTTGACCTAAAGTGCTGAGGGATAGCGCCCAGGCCCAGAGTTCAAACCCCACAACCAACAACAACAACAAAAAAGAGCCTGAAGCCTTCCCTAGGTTCCACCTATATAAGGTTTCATTGTCTGTAGTAGCACCATCCCTGGGGCCCTCAGCCTTCCAGACACAGGCCATTGAGAAACATTTAAGATCCAGACTGTAGCACCAGCCATTGCTCATGACATGTCAGTAGCATGTCTCTGCATGTTTTGACAACCACAGATGTCTGTAGGCATCACCGATTAGCTCTGCTATGAGAAAATCTGATTTGGAACCCAAAAGCATTTCATTTATGTTTCCTTTTTCTCTATCTCTTATCCATACTGACTTAAGACATGGAGATGAATATACAGATAATTTTGATCTTTGGTGTAAGAGTTTCTGAAAATCCCAGAGCTGTTCAAAATTACAAGCATTACAGGCAGAAGAGAGTTGAGGCAGAACATTAAATAGTACGTAGATTCCAGTGGAACAGAAGTGACTGTCTTCATACATAAAGGCCTGGTAGAACCTCTACACTATGTTTATCGTCACCACTGGGCAAAATGGTCTCAAGAGCTCAGATGCTTATGAGGAATCTTCTTCACAGAAATTGAGGATCTTGGCTAAGTGCTGGTGGCTCATGCCTGTAATCCTAGCTACGCAGGAAGCCGAGATCTGAGGATCTCAGTTCAAAGCCACCCTGGTCAGGAAAGTTTGTGAGACTCTTATCTTCGATAAGCTACCAGAAAAAGCCAGAAGTAGAGCTGTGGCTCAAGTGGTAGAGTGCTAGGCTTGAGCACAAAAGACTCAGGCACAGTGCCCAGGACCTAATTTCAAGCTCCAGGACTGGCATGCACATGTCCACACACACAGAGAGAAAACACAAGTGTCTTAAAGAACTTGAAGTCATGAATAAAGGAGCTCTTTGCTAGTTGAGGCTGTGATTTTAAGATCTTCACCTTTCTCTCATTGAAGACCTGACTATAAGCATGGCCCAATTCTCTGTATATGCTAGATTCCGTGTGCTTTGATTTCTAGACTCATTCTGCTAGCAGTGTTTTCATTATAAGCCATTCACTGGCCAAGTACCAGATAGTCACCCAGACTCCTGTTCTGTTTCCTCAGGATGCACGCTCTTTTTCTACGAGAGTGACGGTAGATCTGGCATAGACCATAACAGCATCCCCAAGCACGCTGTCTGGGTGGAGAACAGCATTGTGCAGGCCGTGCCTGAGCACCCCAAGAAGGACTTCGTCTTCTGCCTCAGTAACTCGTTGGGTGACGCCTTCCTCTTTCAGGTTTGTTGGATACCTGCTTCTCTGGGACTCCTTCCTTTCTTGCCTAAGTCCCCTTCCTGCACCTTTTCATTTCACTGGTGAGAATTACCTGTTCTTCATTCCAGAAACAAAGATGATGAATGATAAAATGAATATGTGGAATGATTCCAGGAATGAGAGATCTCACACAGAGGATTGCAGCTTGGAGCCTGTTCAGAGTTCTGAGTTGGATGAGGAATTGGCAGTGTTTGACGTGGGTTGAGGATTTCTTTCTTTGTAGCACTTTAGAAAGGGATTATGAGATCCTTAATTTAGATATGACTTGAGCTGTCACATTTTTTAACATAATATGTTCTCTTCTAATATTAATCATAAAGTAAATAATGACATTTCAGAAAAGACTGGTTGTCTCTAAATAGTCTCTCTTTCTCACCTTATCAGAACTTTCTTCCCAGCGTTCTTAAAAGTTTCAGTGTTGTTTTAAAAAGTACTTCCCTGCTTCAGGCTTACGATTGCTATTATAAGGAATCATTTGCATGTGCTCAGTGGTAAAGTACCTTGCAAGAATATTTTGTGGTTCAAGACCACATTTAGTAATACCAGATGAGGTAGAGAGGGGTGGATTGAGGGCCAAGGCCAGCCTGGGAAAAATCACGAGACCTTGTCTGGAAAGCAAGCTAAAAATCACAATGGCAGGGAGCATGGCTCAAGTAGTGTGTCTCCTGTATATCAAGGGAAAGGTTTTCAGTTCAAACTCAGAATAGCCAAAAAAGAGAAGAGAACTTGTGTGTGTGTGTGTGTGTGTGTGTGTGGTTTAAATTACAAAAGCTGTTCTCATTTATTCCATGAGTAAAGTAATTCCTCTACCTTTTCTCCCAGGCTCTCTATCTAGTGTGTATAGTGCAATTGAGAATACCTTTTGACACAGATCCTACCCTTAAAAATATTCACAAATAATAGGGCTGCAATTGAGGGTCAATCTTTGTGATGTGGTAGTATTCATTCTCCTCTCTCTTCACCTTCTGTGACTCCCTAGTGGGAATGCATTAGTTTGCTTAATGGTCTCTTGAGATTCTATTCACTTTCTTCTTTTTCTTCTTCTTCTTCTTTTTTTTTTGTTCTAATCTTTAGCTTGGATAATGTCCATTGATTTGCTTCTAGATCATGGAGCTTTTTTTTATACCAACTCAAATCTATGTTGTTGGGTCCTTCTGGTTATTTTAAAATTTCATCCCCAGAATTTATATGTCATTCTTGAAAACAAAAATTTGTTTCTCTGTTAGTATTTTTTAAATGGTGAGATGTTATTCCATTATTGTTCTCATATTTTATTTTAGTTTTTTAGATATGCTGTGATTTAGTTCTTTGGATATATCTAATATACTTGATTCTGTGTCTATACCTTCAACATCTTGTTTTTCTCAGGCACAAGTTTTTTTTTTTATTACTTTACTTACTGCTTCAGTTCCTATGTATGGACCACACTTTATTGTTTTTTTAATTTTATTTTATTATAAAGATGCTGTACACAGGAGTTACAGCTACATGAGTAAGTTACTTGTAGATCACTGTTACCCCTTCCCTTATGGTTGTTCTACTATCCCTTCCCTCTCCCATAGTTTATTGGTTTTTGTGTATCTCATATTTCTTTGTTGGAAATTGTGAACTTTAAGTTCAATGATATGGCAAACCTTGAAAGCAGATGCAGCTCCATCTTACTTATTGTTGGTGTTGGGGACACATTTTTGTGTAGTGACTTCTCTGAAATCTGGAAAGCATTTGTAGTACCTTCTTGTATATGGCCACTGAAGTCTCCATTGAGCTTGTTCAGTGGTCAGGAAGTGAGAACACCAAAACTTCTTTTTTTCGGGGGGAGGGAGGTCCGGTCGTGGGGCCTGAATTCTGGGCCTGGGCACTGTCCCTTAGCTCTTCAGCTCAAGGCTAGTGCTCTACCACTTGAGCCACAGCGCCACTTCCGGCTTTTTTCTTTTTGCTTATGTGGTGCTGGGGAATCGAACTCAGGGCCTCATGCATGCAAGGCAAGCTCTCTACCACTGAGCCACCTTCCCAGCCCCACCAAAACTTTAACTGCCTAGAAAGAGTAAATCTCCCAGTCTTTCCTGAAGACAGAAGTGTGCACATTGAAGCGTATCTTCGATGCTCAGTTGGTCAGTTCTCAACTCTGCCTTAGCCTTCACCTCTACTTTTATGGAGCATTATGGCCAGCCAGAGGGGCAACCCAGGGCCATCTCAGGACTTGGTTTCCTGGGCCTGTGTGTAGCTCAAGGCATGTGTGTGCCCTTCCAGATTCCCGGAGCGATGGCAGAGCTTTTCAAAGGCCCCTGTGGAAATCTTGTTCCTGCTTCCCTTTAAGTTTTTAGCCTTAGATATTACACAGTTGTCACTGAAGCAAGATTGCTTGCATGGGTGATGTCTGTGTCAAGTCAAATTGTGTTACGCCTCATGATCTGCTAAGCATGTCCAAAGATTTCACATCCATGGGTTTTTTGGGGGGATGTTCTAAACCTTGTTCTGTCTGCTTCAGTCATTTCTAGACTGCTGGCTCTCATAAGTTGGGGAGATGAGGAGATGGACATGGGTAAGCCACTGGGAGAAAGTGAGGGAAGGAATGACTTTATGCAAAGAAGAAATGTACTCTTCACTTGATCTATGTAACTGTAGATCTTCTGTACTTCACTTTTATAATAACTATATATATATATATATATATATATATACACACACACACACATACATACATACATCATACATACATGTATATGGTCAGTCGTAGGGTTTGAACTCAGGCCTAGGCGCTGTCCCTGAGCTCTTTTTGCTCAAGGCTTATACTCTACCACTTCGAACCACAGCTTTTTTTTTTTTTTGGCTTTTTAGCATCCTGCTAAAATAATTTTTTTTGAATGAGGTAAGCTTTGTGCTGGTGGCTCACGCCTATAATCCCAGCAATTCAGGAGGCTTAGGTCTGAGGATCACCATTCAAAGCAAGCCAGGACTGGAAAGAGCATGAGACTCGATCTCCAAAAAACCAGCAAAGAGTCAGAAGTGGAGCTGTGGCTCAAATGGTAGAGTGCTAACCTTAAGCAAAGAGCAAAAGATCATACCCAAACGAACTCCAGGAAATGGAAAGAAGAGTGTTTTTTTTTCTGTTTTTCTTTTCTTTTTGTTCTGTTTGTTTGCTTATAAATCTTTGGGAGTGTAAGGGGAGGCACAGAAATGGAGGGACAAAAGGCAAAAAAGTGTAGCAATGGTACTCACTGGACACTATGTTGAAAATGAACTACACAACTTGTACTCACAAGTTGAGATGGGAGGGAAAAACTGGGAGACAGCAAGGTACGGGATGATATTGTCCAAAACAAAATGTACAGTTTAACTAACTTATGTAACTGTGGCCCCTCTGTATATCACCTTTATAATAACTCTAAAACAAATTTCTAAAAAAGAAATTAAAGATATATGCAAAAGATCAGTGCCTAAGGCCTGAGTTTAAGCCCCAGTACTGGCCAAAAAAACCAAAACACTATTTTTGTCAAGATTCAGTCATTTGTCTTTAACAAATTAAGATTGAAATAGACTTAGCTTAATTTCCAGAACATTCAAAAAGTTATTTGTGACAGTTCTGGCCAGGGTTCTCATTGCTTTTAGGGAGGAGTACCTCCTTGTGTATCCTTATCGATAGCACTGATGACATTCCTAAGGTCACATTAGAGACTGTACCTTGCTAATCATGCCAGGATAACCAGTGTAAGCTGGGACAGTTGTGGCAACCTTTCATTGGGTGTGTTTCGGATCTTCCCAGGCTTTGCTTGTGGTGATGTTGCAGGGAACCCTCGTTTCTCTGTTCTCAGGATCATTCTATTTCTGTTGGCTTTTGTGTAGGGATGGTATTACTGGGCCAGGTGTACAACACACTGCCGGTTTCTAGAATCATGAAAAGAATTTGTACCTCAGCAGCTTGTGAGAATGTCCTTGGTATTGGCAGATTCTTTTCCCCCTATTTTCTGCTTCAAGCTTTTCATGTGACTTTCAGAACATTTTTATGTGTCTTTGTTTTGTTCCGCTTGTTTTGAGACAGACTCTCTCATGCTATAGCCCAGGTTGACTTCAGATTCGTGTTTCTCCTGCCTTGGCCTTCTGAGTGCTGGAAATACAGGTTTGCACCCCCACACTCAACCCATTGTCATCTATGTGATGGGTCATTTCAGTATCTTTTACTTTTGTCAAGTACTTTTTCCATCGCCTGCCTATTTTTCATTGTTTTTCTCTCTGCATGGTTCAGGGACAATCTTTATACCATTTATTATTGGGGTGTGTGTGTGTGTGTGTGTGAGAGAGAGAGAGAGAGAGAGAGAGAGAGCCTGTACCCGGGCACCAGTCCTGGGGCTTGAAATCATGGCCTGGACACTGATCCTTTGATTTTGCACAAAGCTAGTATTCTACCACTTGAGCCACAGTTTTACTTCCATCTTTTGGTGGGGTAGAGGTATTAATTGGAGATGAGAGTCTGTTTCACAGACTTTCCTGCTTGGATGGGTTTTAAACCACAGTCCTTAGAGCTCAGCCTCCTGAGTAGCGAGGATTACTAGTATGAGCTACCAGTGCCCAGCTTACGTTTGGCTCTTTTAGGGCTGAGCAACCTTTAATTTTAATGTCTCATTTCTCAAGTCTTCTTCAATGAGTGGTGTATCAAATCCTATTTTAAAAATCTGCATGCTCCAAGGTCATAGAGTATTTCTTCTATCTAGCTTAAAAGCTCTTATTTTCTAACTTGGCATGGCTTTTTAGGTATTAATTAGAACTCTTGCATATACCGAAATCCTTAAGTACTGACAACATCCACAGTGCCACAGTGAAGCAGCTACTCTCTGTCCTGAGCCCTCCCTGTGTCCCCATCTTAAGTCCAAGTCTTAATTCTTAGGATGGTCTCAAGTTGAGTTGTGTATCTGCATCTATTTTTTTTTATTGTGAAAATACCATACAGAAGGGTTACAATTACACGG